CCTACTAAGTGAATTGCACCTATATCAACTCGTAATCAACTCACTCATCGTGAACCCTCTATAGAATATCAAGGAAGTTCCAGACTAGAAAGAAGACTTTATGTTGCTTGTATGTTTGTGAAACTTTTGTATATAAATCATTGTTTGCAATAACTATTTGTAATAACCGTTAGTGTAAATTTTATTGTTGTGTGTATATTAAAACGCACTTGTATAAAAGAAAACTTTGTATCAATCTTGTTGGCAAATATCATAAACTGACTATATATCAGATTTTACTTTACTGCTAAATCCGAAGTACAATTTAACTACTAAAATTAAAGTATCATTTAGCTCGGTTTCAGACCATTCGAAATTCTAATTCGTAACACATGTGATAGAAAAGAATAACATGAACACCGGTTTCATTCTCTGTGGTTTAGAGAAACGCTGCTAAGGACGTAGTAATGTGACTTGGTGCTTAATTAATCGGGATGTAGATTATGTAGTTTTACATCTTAATACGTGTATGGTGATCTTTCCTAATCATCTTTGAAATTGGTGTTCCCCGGTTTTGTATCTTTTTGCTAAATGAATATCCTTTCTCGAAAATAATTATGACATAAATGTGTCTGTGGCAGATTTAAACTAGTCGTGAATCAAATGAGTAGATACGAAATATTCATTAATAGATCATTTCATTAATACATGCTAATTTTTATTGTGCCCCCAGTAGCACAACGGTATGTCTGCGGACTTACAACGCTAGAAACCGGGTTTCGATACCCGTGGTGGGCAGAGCACAGATAGCCCTTGTGTAGCTTTGTGCATAATTAAAAACAAACAGACAAACAATTTTTATTGTACAGTATGATTAACCTACTGTACGTTATATATATGAAGCTCTGAAATAAAAGTAAATTATTGCCGCTACAAAAGGAAACAACGAGTAGTTTTCGTAGACCCAAAATATTCATAACATTAGCTACATTTCAAAATAGTGATTGAATATAATGCCACATTTTTCTAATATAATGATTGAATATAACTGCAAACGTTATGTATTTATGTGATAGTGACTAAATATAATGTTACACTTTTTGTAACAATCGCTGAAAATGATATATTTTTTGCAATAGGAACTGAATAATGTATAACATTTTCTGTGTTAGTTATCAATACAATGAATGTTGTCTGAAACATTACGTTATTAGCGGCTGATTAGAATCTCGCGCACTGTGCTAAAGTGACTGAATTTCATGCTATTCTTTATCTAACTGAAAATGATGTTTTTTTGTTGTTTTTTTTGCAACAGGAAGAGAATAGTACGTTAAGGTCCCTCTGTAATATTATGTTCTCTGTAACATTGACTGAAATTCATGTATTTTTGCAATAGAATGGGTATAGCATGTCTATGTGGTGAATGTTCTCTGTAATGGTGACTGAAAATGATGTATTGTTTTAAATGGGAAGGGGATACTATGTAAAATCCCCCTATGTGAATTATTAATGGTGTGTTATGTTCTATGTAATAGTGGCTGGATATAACACACTGTTTCTGAATCAATATCCAGGATATCTTGATAAGATATCTTGTTATTCGTTATAGTGACTAAATGATATGATATTGTTTAACCTTTGAACCTAACAAAGTCGAATTTTTTAACTTATAATCAAAACTAAAGACGTGTTAACATAAAATACACCAGGGCCGTTCAAGAAAATATGAAGTAGTATTTCTTATAGGGTTCAACCAATAAATGTACACTAGAAGCATTGAGGACCTAGATAATCTTATATCCAGTCTTATCATAGTTCCCGTAAACTACACATTGAGGACCAAGATAATCATATATCCAGTCTTATCATAGTTCCCGTAAGCTACACATTGAGGACCTAGATAATCATATATCCAGTATTATCATAGTTCCCGTAAACTACACATTGAGGACCAAGATAATCATATATCCAGTGTTATCATAGTTCCCGTTAACTACAATACAAATATCCAGTCTTATCATAGTTCCCGTAAACTACACATTGAGGACCTAGATAATCATATATCCAGTCTTATCATAGTTCCCGTTAACTACAATACAAATATCCAGTCTTATCATAGTTCTCGTAAACTACACATTGAGGACCTAGATAATCATATATCCAGTCTTATCATAGTTCCCGTAAACTACACATTGAGGACCAAGATAATCATATATCCAGTCTTATCATAGTTTCCGTTAACTACAATACATTTCTTTGTCGTTCTGTAAACTTTGCCATATGAAATCCATAAAATGCAGACGTGGTGTTATGAAACCAATTTTGTACAGCTACTTGAAGAACATCAGTTGGCTGGAAGTGTTATTCACGCAGAACATTCTCAGTATAACCAAAAACATAGAATTATCACCTTGCACATTTTCGAATTTTTGGGTTATGAACAGCCTTTTCACCCTTTGTTCCTGAAGAAAGGGTTGTTCAAAACCAATTATACATATGATACGTTAGCAGGAGACGAATAAAAACCTTTAGCACCATAACCCATTAGCAACAATTCATTCATATTCAATTAACAGAAGAAAAAAATCTTTCTGAACACTCATTGCTTTTATGTAAGGCAATCCAATGGAAGTGTTACACATATAATATAAAGTTTAGTTTAGTTACTACAGAACAACCTTCAGGAAACACGTGAAAGTTAACAAAATAACAAACATTTTATTTATACAATCTACATAGGTCCGTTTGAGATCTAAAAAAATATACTAATTCAACTGTATTAAATCAACAATATGCACGATATTAGCAGTGTTCATGTTATCTGTTTTTATAATTATGCTATATAACAACAGCAAGAAATGTTAGCTTTCCTTTAACAATGACTTAGAATAAATACGTTTTCTGTAATCGTGACTAAAAGAGATGTGCTACATAATATAATGTTGAGTGCACATTGAAATTCTGAACTTGAAATTCAAATGACTGAAAGCCACGAGAAACTTAATTCAGTATTAAGACTACTTAAATATAATTAGCATTATTACTTTTATGCTTCGTAAAGTTCAATGTCAAATTTACTATCATTATTCAAATATTTTATCCGAAACAAGAGGAAACCCTCAATAGCCGCAGCACTTGAAATTCTTTTAGGCAGGATTACAATGATTTAATTTATGAGACCTTTGTTCCCCTTTTTATTAGTTTTGTTACGACAGCGGAAGTCACGCGACGCTGAGAGCATGCGCGCTGGGGTTTCTAGAAGGATCGTGACTTAGTGGGCCCTCTTTTTTTTTAGTATATAAGCCGGAGATAGATTGAAGAGAAATAATTGTTAATTGAGTCAAGCGAGCAGAAGGCACTGTAAGTAAAGTGTGTGAATCGCTGTGAATTATAGCGTGTGTTTATAAAAGTAGTTAAGTTTAAAGTGACTGTGGAAATTCTGTGTATTGCAAAGTTGTATCGAGAAAGAATAAACTAGTTTTAATTAAGAAAGGGTTTGTATCGCTGAAGTTTCTCGCAAAGAATTTATACCGGAAATTAACAAACGACCAGATACGCAACAGTTTTATTTTTTGTAAGCCAGCAATTCCAAGTGTGGGGCGCGCGTATACTCGATTTCATTACTCATCAAGATGTTTACCAGCCTACCCTCAATTTGAAATTCTTTTAGGCAGAATTAGAATAAGTTAAACTATTAGGCCTTGGGCATGGTCAGATACACCAATCAAAATGGTTTGACCTTCTGAGTCCAAAAATGTAATTAGATTTCAAATCGATCACAAAATGACGGAGCTAAGAGCTAAAGGTTTGTACTTGAAAAACAAAACAAAAACCCCAGAGCCATTCTATGAGCCGCTCAGCCGCGGCTAAAATATACTGCTAGGTTAAAAGGTCTCAGTAAAATTAACAGTTAGGAAATGTTGTACTTTTTAGTCTAAGGCAGCAGCTTTGATTCACCAGATATCTTTAGTTCTTTAATATGTCTTATGAATATTGGTTTATCCTTACAAGTATTCTACGAAAAGATAATTATTTACTGCTTGAAAGAAAATTAGTGATAGAAAATCAACATCACTGTCACGATTTATTATGGAACGAACAATCGAAACGTCAGAGAGTTTTGTGTTTATAATTTTAACTAAACTGTATGGGTGATTTTAATTAGAATTTAAAAGACATCTTTATATCATATCAATCTATTTAACACTTACATTGGACGTGAAGCAGAACCCTTCTACTAACGGAAGGCGGTACTCCGTTGGAAGCTATACAGAGGTAAGCTCCCATGTGAACTCGGGTCACCCTTGTAATGTTTAAACTTTCTCCTTCGTATGACGAACCTAATTAGAAATATAAAGAAAAAATATCAGTTCCAGGAAAAGCTAATTAAGTGTCGATATGTATTTAGTGTATCAACCAGGTTTGAATTCTATCGGTTAGAGATATTTTCATTTGTACGGCGAAAATTGACGTTAATCGAAAATACAATCTCATAAGTTTACATGATACTGAAAGAAAAAATAATTTGTCATAGCCTAGCTTTCTGTATAACTTTACTTTTTCCCTGAAATATGCTCATGTCATTTAGTGTGGCAGCTGATTTCTGTAATAATGTTCTCCTATCTATTTGTCTTAATATGGTTTTCACTGCTTTTGAGTGTTTCTTTACGTCCTTTTCAGAGTACAAAATTTGATGAAAAAGTATCTATTTACAATAGTATGACAATGAGTAAAGGTCTTAAATATACTTTTACTTACACTTTATTGTGTAATGTTCCCTCCCCTTTATATTTACACAGTAAAAATATTTTCCAGATAACCTTGCCAGTAGCTGTGGGAAGTAACTCACACAGACACACTAAAAGAGTTCTGACATCAACTTACTTATCAGTTTCTTGCCGATACCCAGAATTAATGGTATTGGTTCATCATCCTCCCGTCGCCATGAGATACTAGGTTCTGGGTAGCCTTTGGCTTTGCATTTCAACGTGACATTTGTCCCTTCTCTGGTGATGATGTCTGAAGTGCTTTGATCAACAATAATGTCTGGAGGAACTATTTAAAAATTAACATTTATAGTTAATTTTTCTTTGTTCTGTAAGTGTAATAAGAGTAGTATTACATTTGCCAGTTTTCTTCACAAAGGTTTTCAAAGGAAAGCTAGCCTTTGGTTGAAAGGGTAGAAAAAAGAAAAAAACGTTTTTTTTTTTCCTAACGTGAATGTTTAGTTAGAGAAACAACTTATTCTCCAGTAGGCCTACATCAACTCAAAATAACTATCCTAATATAAACAGTTAGGTAGAAAAACGACTTGTTCTCCAGCATGCTGTCTATGGAAAACCTAAGTCAACTCAAGATCAATTCCCAAACGTGAACATTTAATTAGAGGAACAACATGTTTTCCAGCAGGCTGTTTAGTGAAAATATACGTTAAAAATTTTTTGCATATTAAAATGTTCATAGAAATTTCCAGTTTTGTTTTTTGTTTATTGTAAATAAACCCTCGTTAGTCAATTTAGTCAAAACATTATTGATATATCTTTAGATTTTATACATCCCTAGATGATGTCTGATTGTAAACTAACGAATGGAAAAGATGGATACAGTAATATTGTTTGTTTGTTTGTTGAAGTTCGCTCAAAGCTACTCGTAAGCTATCTGCGATAGCCATCCCTAACTTAGAAGTTATAGAGTAGAGGAAAGGTAGCTAGTCAACACGTTCCACTCTTTGGCTACACTTTATTAACGCAAAGTGGGACTGACCGTCACATTACAACGCTTCCACAGCTGAAAGAACGACTATGTTCGGTGAGGGGATTCGAATACGCTATCCGCAGATTACGAGTCGAGCGCGCTAGCCACCAGGCCATGCTATGCCCTCCGTAATAATGACTACAGAATCGTACTCGACTGGATGTCATGCAGTTGAAATCAAATTAAAAATTTTACAGTAACATGTTTGTTAATCTACTGCTTCAAGCACCATAATATTTGTTAAAATGAAAGCAAAGTAGCAACAAATAGTAGAAAATAATTCGTTGAAATAAATAAAACAAAATCAACGTTTTTAGAGACCACCGACAATAGAAAAAACCTGAACAACAAGTAGACGACATAAGAGTGAATTATTATTAAATGTGTGTTACTTTCCATGTTGTTTAGAATTGTATTAATTCCAATTGTGATCGCTCACTGTTATTACAACTTACAGTTGTTTAAATTCACGATTAAGTTAATTTATGACTAATCAAATTAATGATTTTCAGTTTTTCTTCAAGAAGTGTCTGTTTTCCTATATTTATAATACTATTAGATATTCTCGACTGTTCATATTAAGTTTAACATGAGAGTATTATTTAGTTTATATAGTGCGAACGTTAAATGAAGTTATTTTTAGAAGCGATAGTTATAGCAAGTTTGCTTACGTAACTGTTTATGAATCATTTGTTGTGTAGATCATTTGTTGTGAATTGGTGTCATGTTACTCAAACCTTTTGAATTTTTCTCGTTTTTTTAATTAGTGCTGTTGCATCTTATTTGTAGTAGTGTGTAGAAAGTTCTAAGCCTCAGTTGGACTATTTATAAATAGCTGTACAAAAATGTGATGGGAAGTTAAGTCAAGGGAAAAGAAAAGATATATATATTAACTGGGTGATCGCGAGTTTAGCCATAAAGTTTGTATATAATGGCAAGTTTTAAAGTGTGATAGTTGTAGATTGTATTTAAATAACAGAGTCGAGAAGAATAATCAGTTGGATTCTAAAGTAATTGAACCAGCCTGTGTAGACTTTTAACGAAAAAGAGAGTTATTTAAAGCTCTGGATTCAACTGTAGTGATGAACTGTGTAACGAACATTTGTATATACGTTTGACTTGTTTTAATTAATATATTATTTTAAAACAAGTGGATTGTGTGATGTTTGTTTATCGTTGAGTTTTGTTTGTCAAATTGGAGCTGTAAAAAGCAATTTCGTTTCATAAATATTTAAGATATTTCAGTTAGGAACCATTGGAAACATATTTTAATATTAGACAGAACAAACAAATAGAAAACCAGACTAATAGACAAATAAACACACTTAACCTTCTAATTGAAAGAAACAATAAGATATATATAGTTTAACAAACCACAGTGACATATAATATATTAAGTCAAGTAACGTTTCGACCACAAGAAATAACACGAAACAGACCAAAAACCCTAATCGCCAAGACGGTCCATTCAGCTGGAAAAGTGTAATCAGTCTAATGTGCATCGCTCTAAGCGACAGATATGATACGCTTAGTATTTATATGTATAAAAAAATGAGTGACCAGTCCACCAGTTTGGGTTCATATATCAATAAACATACTGATTATCGACTTAATACGTTTTTCTCATTTTAATTCATGAGCATTACTTTCTTCCAATTTCCCTAAGCACCTTTCCAATAGTACACCACGTCGAAGAAGATTATTTATCGAGAGACAGCCTGATAATTAAATTTTAACATCGTAGTATTTGTGTTATGAAAATTTACAGGGAACACAACTTTCACAGTGGTCTTCCCTGTTATTGTATACCAAGTGTCGTAGCATCACTGGTATTTCATGCTTGGGAAGAGTGTAAAAATATTAAAAACACGAGCCAAAAGTAAAGCAGAAGTACGTTTCTAAACATGTTGTCATCCTACTCACACTATAGCTACAGGTCAGGTTGCGTAAAAACTAGTAATATTTCTTTTTCCGAAAGCTCTCCTGATCAGAAATAGAATTTTAAGGTTTTGAGGTTAAAGCGTTTGTAAAGCGTACTATAAATGTTAATTATCAAATCCATATCATATTAAATGATTTACTGTGTAGATAATCCTGTGTATCAACATCTCCATTAAATAACTTGTTTTTATTCACAAGTTTTAATGGCTTATTTTATGATTGACAAGCATGTTGATATGTATGCCTATTTTATAAACTTGAATGCAAATTTTCAATTTAATATGAAATAATAGTTGATGTATTTGTGTGTGGAAACACATTTTCCTAATACAATATTAAACTGTTAAACAACGATTTATAAGCATAATGAAATGGTATTAATGGTAACATACTACATGTTTCGACAGAAGACAGACCAATGATGTGACCAAGCATATAATACATTTCCAAAAATAAAACCACTTCATTATGTTTATAAATCTTTGTTTGTTAGTTTAGTATAATATATGATGTATTTCTTCGTGTTTTTACTGCAAACTTCTCTTCCTGTATTGTGTTAAATTGTCACGATAACATAGGAATTCATATTAGGACTCACAAACTTTCTTGAAATTTGTTTGTGTTTAACCGCAAAGTTACACAATAGGCTATCTGTGCTTTGCCCAACAAGAGTATCGAAACCCGGTTTCTAACGATGTAAGCCCGCAGACATACCGCTGTGCTACTGGGGGAGGCACAAAATTTCTAAAATATTTACTATTAAATGTGATCACATTTTAAAAGAATACACACAGGACACAAGGGTTATTTTCAGTCGTCGATATGATCTCGTATCAGAAAGAGAGAAAACAAGAAGGAATCCACAATAGCCGCGGTTGTAATTAGATCTCAAATCGGTCAATTGATGGAGCTATGAGCTAGAAGTTTGTACTTGGAAAAAAATAATAGAGCCATTCTATGAGCCGCTGTGGTGCGACTGAAAATATTTCTAGTTGTAAGTTATAAACTCCGGAATGTGTCTTAAAGTGTGCGGTTAGAAGGAGAAATTGGTAAGTGGCGAGGTTCGATTTTTATTACACTTACATAAATAGGGTCTTGATTAGACTGTCACAAGCACTAAAACAGAGCAACTCTCGTTCGCCTGAGATATCCCTCTGTACATGCAACAACATAACCCCGTGAATAAGAATAGGGAACAACATTATATATGCATTTCAGATAAAAGTTACCTTTTGTAAAAGATAAGATTATTACGAGTATTTAGTAGATTTATATTAAGCTTAAGAAGTAGCTTTGGTCTGAGTATTAACAGTATGGTAACCAGGTTTCTTGGAATATTATTTCTGATATCTATTCTGTGTTAAGTCAGTAGTAAATGTTTTGTTTTTTAACGATAATGTTTACATGAATTTAAGTAAATAATAAATATTAGGTTAACAATTAAGACATTATTGTAATGACAGAAGTTTACACGCGCTATCTTGAACATCACAAGAATATGCATATTGTATTACTTTCACCAGTTAGTTAAGCTACTTTGATCTCATGTTTCACGGACGGATGTTTTACATATACCTTTTTGCACTGTCATAAAACGATTCAATATGCTGTGACGTAGTTTAGAGCATCACTGATTTGATGGAAGTTTTATTCTTGCCCATCTTTTTAACTATTAAAGCAGGAAAAGAAAACCAGCTTAAGTCTCAATAAGCCGAAAAGCATCATTCTCTCACGAGAATATTTTTTTTTTAATTCAGCTCAGGTCGTGACATATTGAATGACCTATTATATAGGCTCAAGAGAAACATTCAGAACATTGTGAATGGCATATAACAAAGCATGCTAATAAACAAGTAGAAATAACATATGCACTCACGTTTGAAAAATAAATAAGCACTGTCATTTACCTGAATAGTAACAGGCTAATTTGTTGCATTATAACTTCTTACCGCACAACAATTGTACAAATCAATCTATGTCAGTAATTACTTAGTTAGATCTACCTAGAACTGATCACATCACCGTTAATTATGATTAACTTGCAGAATTATGTGGCCGCATTGGTAATGCGTATAGTTAGAAACGAACGTTTTGACAAAACAGATTTAAGTATAGTGACAGCCGGCTTTCAACGATCAATTAATCTTGGCAAAATAGCACAACGTCCCATAGTACTTTATTATTCTAATATATTCCACATTGTAGAATCGACTGATAGGCCATTTTACAACAGGAGAAATATATTACGAGTAACTCAAAGACGGTATCCCGCTTTCATAAGTAAAGTGTTTGTCTTGAAACTTGTGATATGCGTGGTAAACACAATTCAAGACATTATTATTCTATGTTCTTGGACACGTTCTTAACTTACACGTACAAATCGAAATACTCTTATCCAAAACACAGAAAAACAGAAGAAAAAAAAAGAGTTATTGGATATTCTGGAATGCTATTTCAGGTGAGATTTGACTGTCTCCTCCTATCATCCTTAAGAACTATCGAACTTTATCACTATTGCTTAAAGTACTCTTCCACATAATAGGCTTTTCAAACGGATTCCAAAGAATAGAAGAAGGTGAAATATTTTTACTTGAAAAAAAAACACAACAACCAGGTATATGAAACTTTAAGGACACAAACCTTATCAAACAATCACGTTAGTAAAGGTTTAAAGTTGGAAGCAAAAAATTCTATGGAAAATCATGATGCATGCTTGTTTCCGTGACATTGTAATTTAGTTCTGTTATTTAGTATAAATAGATCATGTTAAAACCTATGTCTTAGAATAGACACAGGTGTTTGTATTTACAAAAGAAAAGGTTGGTTTAAATTCTCCAAGTCATATATTTTTTGTTATTCCTAAAACTAAATACTCGTAAAATATTATTTTATTAAAATTAATGACAGTTTATTGATCTGACGTGCTTAGAAACAAACCAAAAAAAAAAAAATGCCAGTACAGTAATACAGTTCTACATAAAGTTTGTTTATAAATTATTCTATAAAGTGTAAACATTCTTTCACGAAATTTATTAATTACTACAAAGAATGGTCAGGCGTGGCCTAGGGTTAGCGTGTCTATTATCGCAATATCGCGCTTCGTACTTTGGGGTCGTGGGTGCCCCTATAAGAGTGATGGTCATATCCCACTATTCCACCGAATAAGAGTAGCCCAAGAATTTGCGATGGTTGTTATTGACTATCTCCCTACTCTACTAGTTTAAACTTAGGGAAACTTATGTTCAGATATACCTTGTGTAGTGTTTCGTAAAAATTGGAAATGAACTAAAAAAACGCTTTCCCTTTGGCACAACAAGAGAACGAAGAGTTTGAGAAGATGAATGAATTATCTTTGAATATATTAGTATTTACAAGAAACAAAATAGAAAACTTAAGAGATTTGTTGCATCTCTTCAACTGTTTCGCGATCCTCACACACACCTCGTGATCTACACACCTCGAGATCACTAGTTTGGAAATTGTTAGTTGCAAATGACTGTCTAGTAAACATGATATAGATCAATTTTCCAACTAAAATATGGTGATGGAAACTTCACTGATCCCTAACCTAATATTTGTATATTTTCATTACATTTCTCTAATATCTCTCATTTTCATTTCAATCTATCATGGCTATATTTGTCCTAAACATCATAATATCTTATCTCCGTCACTCAAAGCTAGCAGTAATTTTATTTGTTTCTCTGTAGAATTTTGCGCAAAGCTAATCGAGGGCTATCTGCGCTAGCCGCTCCTAATTTAGAAGTGAACTAGAAGGAAGGCTGCTAGTAAACACCACCCACCGCCAACTTTTGGACTTCTCTTTACCAAAAAAGTGAGATTGGCCGTCACATTATAACACTCCACGGCTGAAAGGGCAAGCGTGTTCGGTGACGAGAATTCGAACCTGCGACTCACAGATTGCAAATCAAGCGCCCTAACCACCATGCCATGCCTGGCCTGTTAACAATAATTCTAACCTATCTACTCAGGTCACTTAAACGTTTACAGAATACTACCAAATATATTTTTGAGCATTTAAAAATAATGATCAAAGCTTAAATCTAAATTAAACATCTTAACAGACATAACTAGTATGATCGTAGTCATTACAACACCATGAAACAACAAAACAAACTTCAAACTTACTATTTTAAATATTCCATTTTATTTAACTGATAGACCTTGCTGTAATCCTGATACATCACAATTACCAACTTAAATATCACTCATGGACATGGCTTAACTTTGGTATATAAACACTAATAAATTCATTGGAATATAATATAGCATTGACTAATTAGTTTAGCTATACAAACGTATAATATCTCGTTTTATTCGTTAAACGAACGTAGAATCTCTAAATCATCACATAAAATATCTGTATAATTCCACTGTGTAACCTACTAATCTGATGTGATTTATATTGTAATATGTCCTAGGAAATACTCAAGGAAACTCTCCTGGTTAATCAGCATGGACATCATTAAGTACGTCTTTACATTATCACAATAAGTAAAACATACTTTGTTTACCTATTACTATACTAACCTAGGACGTCTAGGTATCCCACTTGGCTTATCATGGGCACCGTGTTGATCTGACACATATAACCTCCACGATCTGACTCTTTCACATCTTTGATGTGAAGAATAAAGTTTCTATTGTCACTATGACTGAGGCTGATTCTGTAGTTTCTTGTGATCACGTGTTGATGAATTGTAAGGATTGCCTTCGTCTCCACTCGAATCCAAGCTGCCTGTATTTTCATTATTTGGTTAAATTAACGTACATAGAAAATAAGTTTATCTACATGTACGTATAAATAAATACAAACAAAATAACCTACATCACATTACTGCTGATTATATTAATCTATTCTTTTTACTAATGGTTGAAGATATTATACCTAACTGAAACCGAACTTGAGTTGTAAATGTAGTTCTACTTACTCTGTAAGCTCCCAGTTCGTTTACCAAACACGGGATGTTCGCATCTCTTCCTAATGCCATGGTAACATTTGGTATAGGTCCTACAAAGACAGGCATTTTGTCTGTTTCTTTCTTCATATTGATAACTGAAAAAAATAAAAACGCCTTTTTTACAGCTGTTTTCTGAGAAACTTTTAGAAGCTCATCGATAAAATCAATTAGTGTTAATTGAAATATTTCAAATTGCACATTGAAACTAATTTATCACTGATGTTGGTCGAGCGTGGCCAGCAATTAGCGTACCGGATTATTAATATGAGGGTTCAAGGTTCGGGTCCCGCTGCCCCAAACATGCGCTCTACCCTTTAGGGCCTTGGGTGCGTTATAAGAGCGACGGTCAAATCCCACTATTCGATTAGAATAGCCCAATCATTTTCGGTGGGTGTTCTAGTCTATCAGTTCAAAATTAAAGAAGACTCACGCATATATAAACATTCTGTAGCTTTGTGCGAATATCCAAAACAAACAAATACTACTGAGACCTGATTGTCTGTGGCTTCATTCCGTTAATAAGTAGGCTCTCTTTCATAAGGATTCTCTATTTAAAATTCAGCTTTAGTGGATATGTTAAAGTACTTTAAATGAATAATTATGCTACGCCCATCTTCATTCTTATATGTTCTGGATTCTGAGCCACCTAGTGACGGAACTGGCACACCTTGAGAAGAACAACAGTTTCAGTGATGCTACTTTTATTACAATACAGAATTTGTTTTAGCTATAAGTGAAGTAGAAATAGTGTTATTTAGATTAGTACTTGTGTTATGAAGTTCGGGTAAGAATCGGTTGGGGGTTTAGAGAGGTGAGAAAGCGGCCAGATTTTCGTCAGTTCATAAAGGCTTAGGTTATTATGGCACTAAGTGGTTAGAGAATTATTGGAAGGATCGATCGCCTCTCTTGTTTAGCTGCTGTGGAGCTTACGGAGCCCCCCTATGATTATGAGCGTTAGAATCCTATTTACGGAGCACAGGTGTGTAAGACAGAAAGAGACCTGTTGGCATGGTTTTAAAAAATAAATATAAAAGGCAGCGTTTAACAGAAGAAAGAAAAGACTGTGAGATTAAGAGCGAATAAACAAGCCTATTGAGAAAAGGAAAAAACATATTCTAAGATTTATTTTTAAAAACTATTTCTTAAAACATCTGATAGAATGAACTATGATGTGTTTGTGAAAAAGTCAGCTGACAATCATCGTGACTCTTAAGCCTGCGATAGCTGCAAGATTTTGTACTTTTTAGCCACCAGGTGAGTTTACTTGTCCCATGGCAAGACCTGAAACATAATGAAAATAGAATAACCGCCTGTTACAAGATACCTTTTGATCATATAAAGAACAACGATTGTTTTGGCTCAAATCGTCAGTTTTAGATTAATTATTTTTGAGTTATCATGAACGATCTCTCAAATGAAGCTTCCAAATTAAGTTGGTTTTTAGGGTGTCCCGATACGATGTAATTAAATACGAAACTTATTATTCACTAATACTGGGAATAAATATTAGACTCAGAACCTGTAACATCTGAAAAAAGTACCTGTTAAAACATGCTCTACAATAACACCTTTGCAAATTTTGTATTTTTCACTGAGATTGCGAAACCCTTGACATAAAATTGTTAAACATATTTTAAAATTCTTAGTTAGCATTGTGTTTTGTAGGTCAGAATGGCGGAGCTGTTGGATATTTTTTATATACATTTGTATTGTTAATTAGAATTCAAAATATATATAACCAAGATTATACAAAAAGAAGTTATTATTTCTTAAATTCTAAATTTTTGGCGCAGTATTATTCTTTTTCAACCTTTTTTGATCAAATTGTCTTGATCAAGTAACAGTCTGTGAATTATCTATTTGTTTGCTCTATAGCATAACGTCAGTCATTCATTGATGCTTTCAATCTCTGAACAAAAGGTTTGTGAAGCGAATCCAAATATCCCGAAATGTCCTCAAGATAAAGCAAACGTTTTGAAATCAATCAAAAACACATAATAATCTAACAATAACTATTCAGAAATCAATAGCAGTAGGGTACACAAGTCATATTTGAGTGGCGTGAACGTTAGCTTCTTACAGGTATGTATATATAGAGAGATAATCAATATATTCAATACATGATGGGTACAAGAGGATTTATTACATGCTAAAGTGGATGTAAGTAACTAAACTAACAGGCACTACCGAATCATTCCTATTCTGTATGCATGTGTTTCTATTGAATTACGTTAACGGGAAATATTTCGAAAATAATGATAACGATTTATAGAGTACTTGTATACAAACAGATTGTCATTAAATTGTACGATTACTTAGACATAACTCAAATAATCGTATTTGTTGATTTTTGAAAAACTTTAGCTTTGAATGGTAGATGTAAATAAATCCTATACCAAGACGTTTCACTTCTTCAGCGAATCTTCCTGTTGGTGAAAGACATTCCACAAACCGAGAAAGCTTCGCGAAGTGAAACGTTGTGATACCAGATTTGTTTTCGGTTTCTCGAGAGACACTAAAGTTTTTTTTAATGTTTTAAGAAATACTCGGGTTCTCTCGTCAAATGTATTTATCATATTGATTCCTCTGTTTCTGTTGTTTAATGGATTGTGTTGTAATTACTGACAGATACTGACCTTTGTATTGTCGGTAATTTTAGGCATGAGAGTATTAATGATACAGATTACCATACTTGTTAGTTCTACTGCCATTTGAATAACCAGAATACCAGAAGGCGAAAGCCATGATGAATATGAAGAACAACACTTGAGAAAATGTGCAGGTTATCAGGTTACTGTTGACTTGACGAATGGAATCCGGCCATGAAAGGAAACTCTTGACGGATCTTGTAGCTCTAAGTATTAGTGTGAAAAGTTTATCTCTCTCTAACTGCTATGGACACATATGTTCCTTTTTAGAGCACTGCCATGAGAATTTGGAATTATGTAACGCCATGAAGAAAGAATATTCCTCTTTAAAAACCACAGTGTTTACCAATTTCAATTTCAGATAAATAATGAAATAGTAAAGCATGTCTATTTTGTTTTTTTAATGTGTATTTAAGAATAAAGAAATCCGGAAGAAATCTTTATTTATAAATATGGTACTGAAATAGTTAATACTCTAAAGGAACTGTTTCTGTGATCTAAGTAGCCAGTAAATAATATTAGTCTGTAATATATAGACGTGAGAGTGAAATAGATAATATTGAAAGCAACTGTTTCTGTGATATAAGTGGCCACAGTTTCTATAATCCCAATAAATAGTGTCATTTAGTAAACAATTAATATTAATACATATTGAAATGAATAAAAACTCTATAACCCGAGCGCTTTCGAAAGGTGGACCTTTCTTCTTCAGGGGCAAACTGAGAACAAAATACAGAACAATTTATTATAAATGTGATACGCTCTGTATATTACTGCAAACAGTTATTATTTAAAATGAAAGTAAATATAGTTTTGAACATGAAAAATAAATACTTATTATATACACAAACATATATATAGGCACACAGAAGTAACACAGCAGTTAAGTTAATTTTAACATCTAAAGGAAAGACAACGCAAGAAGTGCATCTCCCTAACTTTATTGGCATTTAAAAAAAAATTCCAGTCAATAAGCGAAAAACAAGAAGTGTTAAACAAAGGACACGATAAAACTATGGTATATGTGAGAATGGTAAACGTACCCTCGGAAGAGAAGTGTCTACTAAAGTTGGACAGATCCACACAGTGGTGAGGATATATCTATCAGATCTAGTCTCTGTTCGCAAGAGTGAACTGCACTAGATGCTAATACAATCAGTGCTATCTAGAGTGCATAAGTTACATACTTTTCTTACGAGTATTGTAGGTAGATAAACTTAAACTTTTAAATCTAATATCTTTCCACTTAATCGTACAGTTATGTGTATACTTTCAAGAACTTTACATTTGGTGATATAAAATGGATTTAAAAGTAAAGAAAGGAAGATATTGACTTTTTACGAGATATTTTATTAAACTTAAATGTTTAATACATAACTATATCATGAATAGTGAACATAGCCATATTATCGAATTCTAGGTTTGTAACCAAGTGAATTAACGATTCATATTAGACCTATTCAGATATTATGATTAGTAGTTTACTCACAGATGACATAACAATATGCGTAGTTTGTTAAGTATCTAGGTTTTCGCAATGATATAAAAATGTGAGAAAGGAAGATTTGGCACATCCTTAAGCAATACGTGCGCAAAATCTTATAATTTAATATTTAAGAAGAGTGAAGCAAATAAACAAAGTAGGCGTCATATAGTAGTGGAATGTAAGCAATGGGCTGTATATGCAGGTGAAACTCTACTTATCATCAGTAGTTTCTCAGCGAATTGTAGGTATATACGTTATAAAATCATTTAAAGATTGTAAAACTGTACTTAAAAGCTGGGAGGGACATAACATAGATGTTCAGTAGGTGATCAGCTGGTGCAAAAATGCTTCTCGGAGTGGATACAGTGGTAGCGAGAACATCGGAGAAGATGAGATTGTGGTCACGAAAACATTGAAGACCTCGGGATCCTTGCAGCAACAAAGGATCATGAGACCAACGGTATTCATGCAATAAAGTGGAAAAGTGATGTAACAGATCTACAGCTGTACGAGGTAAGGCTGGTTTATGGGGAGCTGAAGAAGAAGTCGGTATGTGTAAAGCACTGGCATCAGAGGGAAGAGTGGTGAGTAAGGTGGCAAAGGAGTCAGCATCGGCTGCTGTAGTAAGAGGTTGATCCATATCTGGTATAGCATTAGTAATGTGTGAAGCATAAGGTTTCCAGACCGCAGAACGAAAATTGAGATGAGTCCAACGGGAAGCACGAGGAACAGACAAGGACTGCGAACGGACACAAAGTTCTAAGGGGAGATGATTCCTACCCACCGGAGGACACATCTGGAGAGTGATAAAAGAAACCAGGTTGGAAGAAACAAAGACAATATCAGGTGACGAATGAGAAATTGGACGACTAGGGGTAGGCAGAGGTAGCAAAGAACCAGAAAGAGAACATAAGGAGGACTGAAAACTGGCAAGTTTGACAGAGGTCCTACTGTGGTAGTT